ATACCTCTCCGACAATCGGAGTGACAAATCCTAATCTTGAAATACGCCAACCCAACATGTACCTTTGGAGACACCTGTAGAGCACCTTTATAATCACCCAGTTACGTTGTGACGTTTGGTAGCACACAAAGTGTTCCTCCGGCAAACGGGAGTTGCATAATCTCATAGTCATAGGAACATGTATAAGTCATGAAGAAAGCAATAGCAACATACTAAACGATCGGGTGCTAAGCTAATGGAATGGGTCATGTCAATCAGATCATTCACCTAATGATGTGATCCCGTTAATCAAATAACAACTCTTTGTCCATGGTTAGGAAACATAACCATCTTTGATTAACGAGCTAGTCAAGTAGAGGCATACTAGTGACACTCTGTTTGTCTATGTATTCACACATGTATTATGTTTCCGGTTAATACAATTCTAGCATGAATAATAAACATTTATCATGAAATAAGGAAATAAATAATAACTTTATTATTGCCTCTAGGGCATATTTCCTTCAGTTACTAGTTGGAAGCAAACGTTCGGTGTACGTAGAGTCGTATCAGTGGCAGATAGGGCTTGAGAGAATATTGATCTTACCTTTAGCTCCTTGTGGGTTCGACACTCCATACTTATCACTTCCACCTTTGGAAATTGCTACGATGATTCCCTGCACTTGGGGATTATCAGGCAACAATGCAAAATTGATGACTATTTTTCAGGCAAGCATGAAAAATGACTGAAGTAATGACCTCTTTACCCGCTCAGGCGTAATCGTGTCCAACTTGGCAATGTACTTTTGGTACATGAGATTGACATCGTTCATCATCTCGGATACCACATCCCATTTGTAAGCCCAGGTGGGGAGCCGTAATTCGCCAACTTCATCCCAAGGATTAAACTTGACGCTCTTCGGGCGTCCAACAGGAAGACGCTCCCAGCTCCATATAGAAAGCAGAAGCATATTACCACCAATGCCTGCACTACATGTGATCCTGCAACACGCATCGTTCAGCTGCATATGAAAGAAAACAATGTTAACTTGACAGCAAGGTTGCATTGCTAATGAAGAAATGACTTGATAGCAAAACAAACCAACTACCTATCAGTACAAGTAGGCAAGAGTCGCTGAACCCCAGCTCATCCGCAGGGCAAGTGGCAAAGTTATTTTGAATCCATGTGAAAGCAGCTCCAGCTGCTTTCCTTTCCTTCTTCTTCTTCTCTTCCCCATCCTCTACATCAGCCTCAGCCTCGGTAGGAGCCATACCGATAAGAGCAATCATCTGCTCGCACCACCCATCAGAATCGGTGCTCATACATAGAGGCCTCCCATCGATAGGAAGCCCGGTGATCAAGGCGACATCCTCAAGCGTCACGGTCATCTCCCTAGTCCGAAGATGGAAACTGTGCGTCTCCGGCCTCCACCGATTAGCAAGAGAGGTCACCGGTAGAGCGTTGAGGTTCGACGTGGACCGGCTGACCAACTGAATCCACGGGAGGAGTCCTGTCTGCTGGATGTAGGGTGTGTACCGCTCATCGTAGGGCATGGCAGGACCAGAGACCCCGTGATACCGAATCTTCAGAGGTTCAAACTTCTGCAAAAAACAAGTAATGACAAATCTTAGGGCATGTCAATTTCAACTAAAGGCAAATTTGCAAAATATTTAGATTACGCATTATTACCATCCCCTTCTCGCGCATCATGAAGGCCCGGTGTTGTGTGTCGTAGACATCGTCGAGAAGCCAAACCATCCTTACAAAGTTCAAACAATAAACATATATGAGTTCATCTTCATCTCAAATATCGGTATACACTAAACATCTAATATGTGTTCAACTACAAGAATCTCAACATCTCCTTCTCACACAATGAATATGTCATATGTGTTCAACTACAAGAATCTCAACATCTCCTTCTCACACAATGAATATGTCATATGTGTTCAAATAAACTCAACATCTCATATTTCAAATAAACTCGACATCTAATATATATCTAAACAAAACTAAACATCTCATATATGTCTACAAAACTCAACATCTCATAGTTATCTACAAAAATAGGCATCTCATATATATCTAAAAAAAACTAAACAATCTAGGGTTTCACTAACAAGAATCATATATTGTGAACTTATCAACAACACTACGGTACTACCACTATGCCTACACATCCTAAATCAAGCAAATCAAGGGTTCCATCAAATCTTGGACAAATCTCTAAAATGGCAACAAATTTATGAAGGAAAAGAAAGGGAACGGAGGAGTTTACCTAGTAGGAGGGATTGGAGATCGAATCCACGGATCAAATCTCCAGATCCGAGAGGGATGTCTGTGTGTGGGAGGGAGGGGATTCGATGGGGCGCCGCGCTGCTCTCTGTCCTTAGGCGCTGCACAGCTGTCAGTGGGACCGCGTCTGGCCCCGGGCTGCCACGCTGGCAGGACGTACAACGCCTAAGCCAAAGGCGCTGCATAGTGCGATGCAGCGCCCGGGGCTGTCGGGCGCCACATGAAAAGGCCTGTGATGTGAAATTTTTTCGAACCCAGGTCAGGTCGTGAATTGATATCGTCCTAAGGTCAAATATGTGATTTCTGCCGTGGAAGGAACTGTGAAAGCGGGAGGGCTGTGGACCGGACCGCGGGGACACGTGGTTGGCGGCCGATGCGCAGCGTGGTTTCAGCCGGCGGAATAATAATATCGTTTACCACTTTCTCATACGAGGTAAATGTTTACTGGTTAGCATTTTAGAAAGACGACTGCGGCCTTTCCCATCGGCCATCGGTCTCCACTCCACCCGTGACCCGTCCGTCCGAGCCCAACATAATAATGGACTAGACCCCCTTTCCTTTCCTCTTCCTCACCCGAGTCTCCACCTCCCCTCCTCGTCACCGCCGACGCCGGAATCCCCACCCCACCCCTTCTCGCTCGCTCGCGTGTCGCCGCCGCCGTCGCCGTTCACCTTCTCCCTCATCGCGCCCCTCCCGCATCCACCCCGTCCGCAAGCTCTGCTGGCCATCGGGGTTTCATCGGGTACGGGGTTCTTTTCATCCGGCGACCCCGCCGGCCCTGCTTCAGGGTTTCTGGACGCCGTCTAGATCCGCCCCTGATTCCGCGGTTCTACGCACGAAAGCTGAAATCTTTGCATTCCGTTTTCTCGCGGTTGTGCTCGGTTGCATTTTTGTATGAAAAAAAAACAGTTTCTTTTTTTCAGTTTTGTTTGTTTCCGACAGCCCTTCTCGGGGGCTGCTTTCAAGTTGGGATCTGTAGCTTTCGTCGTCGTTGCATACAGATCTGGTTTGCAGCCCACGGTGGCTATTCCGAATTTCATTTACTGCAGTTCCTTTTATCGGATTGTTGCTGGAACGAACCCTCAAGGGTTTTCTTCTCACAAGTTCATTTCGTTCATGGTGCTTGAATGGAAATATACTACTAGTGGTTCCTAACTGATAAATATCACCAATAATTGGTATCCCGTGAAAATAAATACTCCCTCCATATATTTTGGGACAGAGGGAGTAGCTTTATTTAAGCTTCACACTTGTTTCTGTGATAAAATGATGCCTGTATCTGTATATTGGTTAATTTGTTCAACTTCCACAATTGCTATGCATGTAGGCTTTAATCAACTTATGTAGTATCAGAACTAGTGCTACGCACAAATGCTTACATTTAGTTCACTTGGCATATGCCTAACCTACGTGTTAACTTCATGTTATATGCGGATCAGGAAAGAGCTTTTTATTTAATTTGCAGGACATGTGTTGATTTTGTTTAGAAATACGATGCTGCGGTTTGACATCATTGTCTTCGACATCAGTGCTTGAACAATTCTTACAATGTCAAATTTATTTGACAAAGTACAGTAGTATTTCTCAATTGAATCAACTAGCACTAGCAGTTTGTAGGAACAAAAGCCATTTCAGTGTTGAAGCAGTTATGAATCAAGTTTGCAATGCCTTACTGTAAAATTGTGCACAATACAGCACTTCCATATTGTATTACTTGTAAGTCTTTTTCATGAAATATGTTTTTTTAACCTAACTGATGAGATTGCCACATTTGACATTTATGTGAAGTTTGGAGGTTTCTCTGAAAATTCTAGCATCCCAATTTCGTATTGCTCCACCATCTCTTAAAAAATGTTGAATCAAACTAGGTGTGAAACTGATTTGGGATGCAATTCCTGGTTGGTTAAACTCTTTTCAGCCAAACAAACAGTGGATCTGGAATTCCAGGCCAGTTCGGCAGCAATGGATAAAACACACAAGGAGGAGGCAGTGAAAACCACATGTCATGAAGATACTACCAGTACTGATGGATCGAGCATGGATGAATACGATCCATGGAATCCTCCGTATCCTCCTCCATGCCCTCCTGCTGTTGAATATAGCTTAAGTGAATCTATCCGTTTAGTAGCTAAGGTGCAATAATTAACCAACTTTCTTTTTTAACTTTATGGCATTTCTATCTTATCATGTTTGCTTTCCCTAGTATAGCTCTTGACGCCCTCTCCCTCTCTTTGCAGTGGTCACGTGAGAAAGAAGCTGCACTTGGTGCCCTCAGAGCATCCAGTATAATCTTCCCAGAACGCATCCCTAAGGTTCTCTGCATTTGAAAAAAAAATCATTTGGTTATTTACTTTTTCCCCTGCAGTATTTTTTGTGTGCGCTACTTATGCAACATTTTTGTTTTGTTGTCCTATAGTGCACTGCTTATTTCATTTTGCTTTGCTAATCGGATAACTGATTTCCTTTCACCTCTTTTGATCCTGATTAGGAGGTGAATCATCTCTTCCATGATAAAGTGCACCATTTGGCACCCATCCTGGATAAGGATAGCGTCCGGCGCTTTCTCAGCTATATGGAGAGGAATGGGCAGGGCATGCGATGGGGTTCGATCATCACCCCAGAGGCTTTGAACCATATGATTTCACAAAATGCGGTGAAATGTGTCAAAATTGTCTTGGAGGGCCAGGCACCTGAGCTTGATGGGTGCTGAGCCGGTCCCAACTGCATGAACCAGTATGGGTACTATCCCCTCCACCGAGCTGCTGAATTTTTTTCGGTTGACATGATTCAGTTGCTCGTCCGCCACGGCGCGTCCGCCAATCTACGCACAGCCGGTGCTGAGGTCATCGAGGGCCTTCTCCCACTCCATGTTGCAGTCGAGAACACGTGTATGCATAAGTATCTGGAAGACAGTCTGTTTCCTAACCACGAGCATCGGGATTACAGTGAGGCAGATGCCAACTTTATCTTCAAGCTCATCCATCTTCTGTGCCTACCTGAAATGGTTTGTCTCACATCCACCCCTTAACAATTTACTACTCCAGCATAGCAAAGTCACATACTTATAAATAACTGACGTAGCAATAATACTAAAGGAACCTTAAATCCCTAAATCTCCATTTTTCATAGTCGGAATTGTTTTCTGTGCTGTAGTGACATTTTTTAGCCTTTGACTCTTTGTTGAGAGAAAACAAACTCTATTTTGTTCTTAACAAAGAAAATAAGGTTGTGGTTTTATTAAGATTGTTGTTGAGAACATAGTTTTAAGTTAATCAGCACTACAGTCTTACCTATAAATAAATTCTAAAAGACTCAGTTTTTGGTCTGTGCTGGTGATTTTTGCAGAAGATCTTCTTGGATACGACTCGGCTGATTGCAAAATACACAGATAATCTATTGGATGAGCTGTGGAATTACATAAAAGAGGGAAAGCTTGCCGAGACAGCCGTTTTGCTCATGGCAGCTCAAGAGCAGATACGCATGGGAACTTCTCGCAAGAGAAATGGAGATAGTAAGCCAGATGGGCTTGCTATTATCTGTGACCGTATTTGGAACAACAATATTGCTTTGCAGTCTGAGAAGGGTCAGCAAGTGGAGGCAAGGATAAAGCTTAATAATATGGCATTGATGCTTGTTCATGTAATTTCCAAAGCTGGTGAAGGTCTTGATTCATACATTCAGAAGCATCTAGAGGTATCATTCTGTTGGTGCTTGCAGTTATAATTCCTCGATTTTCTCTGTTTTACAAAAAATTGTATATGTTGGTGAGGTATAAGCATTGGCTCTTTGGTAATTCCTGCATTATCTGATCAATATTATTTTTCTAGAAACACTGAACAAAATTTGTAATGTATCTACTTATTATAGGCTCAGTCAAGAATGTAAGATTTGTTTGGGGTCATTGGCAGTAAATACAGTTTGTAAAATGACTTTGAAAATATGAAGTTCATTTTGAGTCCCTCCACGAAAACTTCTCGTTTTGAGAATCGTGGTCCAAATTAGCGTTAAGTGTGGTTGATGCAGCTGGTGTTCGCCTAGCGCTGCATAGGCGCTTCCTCTTACAGTTTTGTTTATCGGTGTATTTGGGGTGCCTAGGCAGTTGTGCAGCTTTGGCTGTCAGGGGTGTATTTGGTTTGTTATATGTTTTTTAGGAACACAGTACAGACGCAGACACACACTCACTCCTATGAATGCACGCATGCACACCCTACCCTTTTGAGTACATCCGAGACACTGAGGTGGCAGATCTTGAGATTGATGGAAGTCTCCATGGGTGCCTTGTAGTTGACATGCACGCTATACCAGTGAAAGAGTATTCCACTACCTTCTGTTAATATGCTAGTAATACATTGAAACCTACTGTTAGCATCGCACTGAAGTTACGAAAATCAGCGTCACGTTTTCCATAGGAGCTAATTGTTACTCCCTCCGTCCAGAAATACTTGTCATCAAAATAGACAAAAGGGGATGTATCTAGATGTATTTTAGTTCTAGTCTTCTAGATAAATCTCTTTTTATCCATTTTGATGACAAGTATTTTCGGACGGAGGGAGTATCTTGCATTGTGCTAAATGTTATTGTTCATGGTGCATGAGTAGAGAACATCTGCTAGTGTCATTGCTCCTGATATACTACCTCCGTCCTGGTTTATTAGTCCCCTTCGTATTGTGTGCCAACTGCCAGAGTTTGACCTTAAATTTTACTAACAAAATGTTAATGCATGTCATAAAAAATAATATAATTAAAAACTATGTTTGAATATGAATCCAACGATATAATTTTTTGTGACGTGCATTAACATTGTGTTAGTTAAATCTCTCGTTAAAATTTGGCACAAAATACAAAGGGGACTTATAAACCAGGACGGAGGTAGTAATTTGTAGATGCTTGGCACATATAGTGATCAAATAAATAATTGTATGCTCATCTTGCTATTTCATAGGCTTTTGTCCAATTTCTCTTGGAATAAGAACAACAGGGGAGGACTGAACTCAATATATACTAAAAGTTGAAACAAATAGGAGTAGGAGATTTGTTACAAAAATAAAGTTGCCAAGGACAGACAACAGCTTACAAAGCTCATTGTCCAAAAAAAGGACAACAACAACAACAACAAAGCCTTTAGTCCCAAACAAGTTGGGGTAGGCTAGAGGTGAAACCCATAAGATCTCGCAACCAACTCATGGCTCTGGCACATGGATAGCAAGCTTCCACGCACCCCTGTCCATAGCTAGCTCTTTGGTGATACTCCAATCCTTCAGGTCTCTCTTAACGGACTCCTCCCATGTCAAATTCGGTCTACCCCGCCCTCTCTTGACATTCTCCGCACGCTTTAGCCGTCCACTATGCACCGGAGCTTCTGGAGGCCTACGCTGAATATGCCCAAACCATCTCAGACGATGTTGGACAAGCTTCTCTTCAATTGGTGCTACCCCAACTCTATCTCGTATATCATCATTCCGGACTCGATCCTTCCTCGTGTGGCCACACATCCATCTCAACATACGCATCTCCGCCACACCTAATTGTTGAATATGTCGCCTTTTAGTCGGCCAACACTCAGCGCCATACAACATTGCGGGTCGAACCGCCGTCCTGTAGAACTTGCCTTTTAGCTTTTGTGGCACTCTCTTGTCACAGAGAATGCCAGAAGCTTGGCGCCACTTTATCCATCCGGCTTAGATTCGATGGTTCACATCTTCATCAATACCCCCATCCTCCTGCAGCATTGACCCAAATACCGAAAGGTGTCCTTCTGAGGTACCACCTGGCCATCAAGGCTAACCTCCTCCTCACACCTAGTAGTACTGAAACCGCACATCATGTACTCGGTTTTAGTTCTACTAAGCCTAACCGTTGGTAGAGGTCCTCATATGCCCGACCCCTTGCTTCACCAACAGCTCGCTTTGCGGCCTTCTTCGCCATCTTGTACTTCTCTATGTTGTCTGCACTCCTATCCAGGTATAGGCGTTTGAAGCAATCTTTCTTCTCTTTAATCGCCTTCTGGACATCATCATTCCACCACCAGGTATCCTTATCTTCGTTTCTCCTTCCCCTGGACACTCCAAGCTCCTCCGAGGCCACCTTACGAATGCAAGTCGCCATCTTCGTCCACACATTGTTCGCATCTCCTCCTTCCTCCCAAGGGCCCTCCTTAATGACCCTCTCCTTGAACGCTAGAGCTACCTCCCCCTTGAGCTTCCACCACTTCGTTCTAGCGACTTTGGCATGCTTATCCCGCTGGACACGAATCCGAAAGCGGAAGTCAGCAACCACCAGCTTATGCTGGGGTACAACACTCTCTCCAGGTATCACCTTACAGTCTAGGCACGCACGCCTATCTTCTCTTCTCGAGAGGATGAAATCAATCTGGCTAGAGTGTTGGCCACTACTAAAAGTCACCAGATGTGATTCTCTCTTTCTAAAGAGGGTGTTAGCTACAATCATGTTGTAGGCTAGAGCAAAGCTTAAGACATCTTCTCCTTCTTGATTCCTGATGCCATAGCCAAAGCCCCCGTGCGCCCCTTCAAAACTTGTGTTAGATGTACCCACGTGGCCATTGAGGTCTCCTCCTATGAAGAGCTTCTCACCAATCGGTACACTTCTAACCATGTCTTCCAGGCCTTCCCAGAACTCCCTCTTGGTGTTCTCATTGTGGCCTACTTGCGGGGCATACGCGCTGATAACATTGAGAACCAAGTCCTCAACTACCAGCTTGACCAGGATAATCCGGTCCCCACGTCTCTTGATGTCTACCACTCCATACTTGAGGCTCTTGTTGATCAAGATGCCTACGCCATTTCTGTTTGCAGCTGTCCCTGTGTACCATAGCTTGAAGCCGGTATCCTCCACCTCCTTCGCCTTCTGTCCTCTCCATTTGGTTTCTTGGACGCAAAGGATATCAACACCTTTCCTCACCGCTGCATCAACTAGCTCCCGAAGCTTCCCTGTCAGAGACCCTACGTTCCAGCTACCTAAGCGAATCCTCCTAGGCTCGGCTAGCTTCCTTACCCTTCGCACTCGTCGAGTCAAATGCGAAGACCCTTGCCCATTTTCCACTACATCCGGGCGTCGATGTAGCGCGCCACTAAGGATGCGACGACCCGATCCTCGCTCACTTGCCACTGTATCCGGATCAAGATACAGCGCGCCACCTTGGGGGTGACGGCCCGGCCCTTGCCCATTTTCCACCACACCCGGGTTCCGATGTAGCGCGTCGCTGAGAGGGTTACGCCCCAACGAAAATTTTTCGGGTTTCATCTCCATAAGAGTGGCTGAGTTTTTACGTTGGCTCGCCAAGCCTATCACAACCCTCCTCCTTTACCCGGGCTTGGGACCGGCTATGTTGAGACAACATAGGCGGTCCCTTCCTTTTTGGAGTAGTCTGCAAGCCATCTAAGTGCAGGTGTGTATAACAACTTCCTTTTGTAATGAAGAGGCAGAGCGCCTGCTGGTTTCTTCGGAAAAAGAAGTCTTGTCTAGTTTACACAAACTCTGGACAATCAGTGATTCACAGCTTCACATGTGATGAAACCTGTCTAGGCTGTTACTTTCAGGCCCAGTTCTTTTGAGCAGATTGTGGAGAATTTTGGTCTGGAAAATCTGGAGCCAAAAGAACTCGTTTTGACTTCCAAAATCTGGAGAGGATTCTCTAGAATCCTAGTGCAATCCAAAAGCACCCAAAAAGCTTGATTTTCCCAGAATCCTGAGATTCTGGCAAGTCCCACCAGTAAAAACGTTTCAAAATAGAAGAGTACCCCTATCCCATTGCGAAATTACAGCAGGAATGCCCCTGCCCATCCACGCGCTGGAACAGAGGAAGCGAGCAAGCGGCCGCTCGAGCCCTGTTCGCATTGAGGAAAAAAGAAGCCCCCAAACGCAGCGACGGCTAGGGTTGCCGCGCCGCCGCCGGACCAACCTCGCCGGCCAGGCCCTTGCTGCCGCCGCCGCCGGCCAGGTTCCCGCCGCTGCCGCCCGCCTTATCTCCTTCCGTCGCCCCTCTTCCTTCGCTGCTCGTCCTCCCCTTCGTTGTGTCTCCGCCAACATCGACAGCCACCGGAGCTGCACCTCGACGACCGCCGACGACCACCGGTGCTGCACCTCGACGGCAACAAGCAGCCCCACGCGAGGTGCAGACCACACCCACGGTGAGGCATCCTCTTTCCCCATCTCTCTGTTCTTCTTTTTTCTTATGCTATGGATAGCTAGATTGATTTATGTTGCATAGGTAGATGGATTGATGCTTGGATTGATTGCTGATGCTGTTAGATGGATAGATGGTGCTAATTTTTTGCACCCAGATTGTTGATGCTGTTAGATGGATGGATGGATTTGTTAGATAGATGGATGGATGGATTGATTGTTGAATACAGCTCGTTTGCCTATTTACAAAAATGAAGAACTAGAAAGAGATATCCACAAGCATAATTTTTATGCTAACAATTCACTAACTTTATTGTGATTTAAGAATGACAAAAAATTCGAAATGTGGCCAGAACAAACAAAAGAGTTATGGATAAGAACATACACTGTTGCAAGATCAACTTGAAAACGAAGGCCACTCTCAATAACCCAGTGTAATGACAGTTAAATCTACCTGAACAGGTTGATGTTTTTCCTGAATCCTGAATTTGCAAATGCAGTGTTACCTGGACAGCACAAGCATCAGATACAAATACAAAATAGAAGCCCAACAATTCAGTTTCCACAAGTTAGGGTTCTAGAACACCCACAAACTTAAAAAAAATAGCCAATATACTAGAATTAATAAAAAAGGCTATTATGCTAAATTTCCATCAGTGTCCAGTTGATATTTTCCTTGTACATGACACTATTTTCTATGATGATGCTAATTTAAGATGGAGAAAGTCAAAGAACCCAAAGCAAATTGGGACAGTGCTGCTCATACAATCTTTATGAATGCGTGCGTAGAGGAGGTTCGAGCAAATAACCGCAACGCTGGTTATTTGTCGGACATAGGACAAGCTAATTTGCATAAAAAGTTCAACGAGCGCTCTGGGAGAAACTATTCGACCCGGCAAATCAAAAATAGGTGGGGTGTATGTAGAAGCGAGTACAACACATGGAAGACATTGATCCAGCAAGCATCTGGCTTAGGAAGAGATGAGCATACACACACTATTGCAGCTACAAATGAGTGGTGGGCATTGGAGATAAAGGTATTGTTGTTGTCATGTAATTTCTTAAATAACGAGTCATGTTGCTTCGGTTTTGCTATTAACCTGTGGTGCTATATGATTACAGGCACATCCAGAAGCTGCCAAGTTTCGCTATGCTCCACTAGCGGAGGAGGAAAAAATGTCAGAGGTTTTCGATACTACTTGTGTCACAAATGAGCATGCGAGGGTGCCAACTCCCTCGTATCAAGGTGATCCCTCTCGAATCAGTTTGGAGGATGACTCAGGGTGTGATAGTCATGAAGGCCAAGTTACCCCTGTTCAAAATCGAGCCAAGGGTGGGAAGAAGAGGGCGTGTCCTTATTCGCCAAGTCCAAAGATGAATGACAAGTGGGCAAGTGAGAATGCTAAAAATGAGGCTTTTGTACGCATGGTGGACATCTTTGGTGCAAGAGACAAGAGGGATGCAGAGGAGATTGCAAGGGAGAAGAGGGATGCAGAGGAGAGGGCAAGGGAGAAGAGGGATGAAGAGGAAAGGGCAAGGGAGAGGAGGGATGCAGAGAAGAGAGATGTAGAGGAGAGTGTGGATCCAACAAGAGAAGAGATTAAACAAATGATGGCCATGGTGGAAGCGGATGGTGCAAAACCAGGAAGTGATGAGCATTTCTATGCTACATTTCTTTTCATGGAAAAGAAATATCGTGATGTTTTCTCCACTTTCACGGCTCATGAATCTGTTGCAAGGCTTGGATGGATAAAGAGGATGTGGGAGCTCAATAATAAGTAGAACATCTATGTTTTAATTGCTTTCTACCAGACTATTTACTTGTAATGTTGTGAGCTAAGCTACTTGCTTTGGAGGTGTACTTTTGTGAACTAAGCTATTTGCTTTGGAGATGTACTGTTATCTGAACTGTGTTGTGTCTGATATTACACTATGTGCATGTTGTTGTGGCAGATGGATAAATCCAGAAAGAAACAAGAAGAAAAGGAATTTGAGGCGGCCATGCTTGCATTTGCTCTGGATGTGGCGTCGTCAAGTGTGACACTGCCGTACGCACCAAGAAAGTTACATCTTGTTACAGGCCTCCAATGGGTAGAAGAGAAGGAGAAAGATGCAAAATCTTTCTATGCTATGTTCAGAATGAGGAGGTCAGTGTTTCATACATTGCATGATCTGTTAGTTCAGAAGTATGGGCTTGAGTCAACTTCCAACATTTCATCCAAAGAAGCATTGGCACAATTTTTATGGACTGTTGGTACATGTCAGACAACTGATAATGTCGCAGATCGGTTTGCACATAGTCGTTCTGTCATAAATAAAAAATTCCACGAGGTTTTGGAGTGTGTAGACCGCATGGCCGGTGATTACATAAGACCAATTGATCCAACTTTCTCTGAACCACACCCAGTACTTAGAAAAACAAAGTTTTGGCCTCACTTTCAACATGCTATTGGAGCCATTGATGGAACACACGTTAAGGTGATTGTGCCAAAGGAGTTGGAGCCCCAACACAGGAATAGGAAAGGTTACATAAGTGAAAATGTTATGGCAGTGTGTGATTTTGATATGAGGTTCACGTTTGTTGTTCCCGGATGGCCCGGATCTGTTCATGACACACGTGTATGGAGCGATGCCATAGTTCGTTATGATCACTTTCCACAACCCCCCACAGGTAACATCTCGCATGTATCCATATTGTTGTATACAGGATGGTATGTTGTACATTTCTAATTTCTTTTGCTGATGTCGTACTGTAGATAAATATTATCTTGTTGACTCCGGATATCCAAACAGGGTTGGATATCTATCTCCATACAAAGGGCAACGATACCATGTACCAGATTTCTAACAACACCCACCAGTTGGGAGATATGAGACGTTCAACCATCGACATTCTTCATTGCGAAATGTCATCGAAAGAACATTTGGTGTTCTCAAGATGAAATGGTGAATTCTTGGAGATGGAGGCATACCTCGGTACAAACCTGAGACCCAAAAGATGATTGTCACTGCATGCATGTGTCTCTACAATTGGATTCGTGATAGCAAGTTACGTGATGAGCATTTTGACAAGTTCGACAATGATGCATATGTGCAACCTCCATTGCCGTTTACAGGTGCCAATGCTCTACCACCAGAAGATGATGGTACCATGAACGTAGTACGTGAGGCGATTGCTGCTAGTCTCGTACCTTGAGATTATCTTTTGTTAGTTCATCCACTTTTGTAATGAACAAATCTTTAAATCCATTCTAAATGTAATATTTAGCACTTTTTATGACATTCAGAAATCACTTTCGTACTCATATTCGACTAGATATTGTTAGAAACAACAAGGTGTTAATAAATTCATCAAACATTTTCTGTCTAAGGGTACTACAGACATTTCAACACACAACTCTTTCCAGAATCTCAACCTACAATCCCAGAAAAGAACTCGGCAACTGATTCTGGGAGAAGTAGATTCTGGGAGAATTTTCCAAAATCTTGATTCTGCAGAATCCTGTGTGAAAAGAACTGGGCCTCAGTTAGATGGCGTGGACAATATGAACACACCACTCTTTTAAAAGCCAAAACTAAACAATTGGGGCAAATTTGGGAAACGAAACAAAATAATGCCGTATATCTAATTAACCCAAATAACTAAGACAAAACATGTGTTCTGTACATGTATTGATGTCATAAAAAATACATCCATTCTACAATGTTATTAGTGTTCTTAAGTTTTTCTGTGGCCTTTCCACTTGTATTATATTAATATACTGTTACCACTGCAAACAATTCTTTCTGTCGTATCTCAGTCGTCATGATTCATGGTGCTCATGGCATATATCTCGTAAGTTAAAATGGTCGTGCAGGTGCCGTATTTCATGCAGTTGCCCCATTTGGAGGTCATTGAACGTGTCTCGTCGATTCTCAAGGATAATGGTTTTTGTCCTACTAGTGAATGGACAGAAATTGGAAACCTGTACGTTTTGGTCAAGGACTATGTTTTGTATACATAGTTACATACACAACTGATATGATCTTTATTTAATTATTTCTTCCACTTGTTCTTGAAGCTGCCCCTATGAGGATGTGTTGTCCAGTGAGGATGTACCTAACAAATCTGGTACGTATCTGTGTGTATTGATTGAAGCATTTCTTTTAAGCTGTGAGGGGAAAAAATAACCCTAAATATTTTTTGTTGGATATGATACGATGAAAATCAGGGGAAAGTGACACAAACAGGGAAGCTCTAGAAATGGATTATCTACAGACAGTAGTGAATAAGGTAAATATACGAAAACATCATCTCCGAAGATTTATTTGTTTGATTTTGATGACTACATAGAATTTGGATTATTCAAGCTGAATTATCTGACACTGAAGAGCTATCCAATCTGTGATAAAATTCTGTCTTAATGCTTCTCTCTCTCATGCTAAAATACGATTGGATTGGCGACACAACGCAGCCAATCCTAGAATGTAGATGTACTAGCAAATCTCATGCAGCATAGTCATTCAGAAGCTTAACGTGTTAGTTAAAGATGCTTTGTGGTTTGTTGTACCTTTAGTCAATAAAATCTCACTCATTAAACTAAATTATGTGTAGGTTTAGTGACATTACATTCTCCATAATCACATTATGTAATATTCCAAGGCAGTGCTGCCGGCAGGTTTCACTGTTTGATGTTTTGAGGTTTCTAACATTCAGATGTTGTTTTGATGTTCGAGCCAGGCCACAAGAAAGAGAAAACCAAGACGATGGGAGCTCAAACTCGCCAGGAGAAGCTTCTTCCCATGGTGGAGATCAGTGTTATCTGCCCGGTCTAAAGTCAAGATCATCCCCCACAAATGGGCACGTCCTTCTGAATGCTTGGATCTCGAGATGGCTTGGAAGAAACCTACTCAAGGCTTGGATGGTGAGACAGCTTCGAAGAAGGAAACCGTCGAGGATGGGTCTGCTGCTGCAGGTCATGGCGTGATGGGCCGATTTCCCATGGTGGTATATAGTAGCAAGCCCGGTGAGCTGTTTACTACAATACCGCTCGCTGATATACCCAAATACATGAAGCAACAACAGAGAAGGCAATCCAGAAGGCTGTTTAGTACAGCGGTTAATTATCAGCCCAGGATGGTGATTGGTACAGGAGTGAATCCTCAACCCGGAAGAAGGCTGTTTGGTACAGCGGCATTGATGCTGCTCAAAGTGTTGAAGAAGGCATGAGGAGTAGTATAGAAAGGTAAGGCCACCTTGAATGCTGGTTTTCTTGTTCAAATTTGTGAGCATGCATGGTCTCGAGCTAGGGAACGTACATATATATGGTCATCTGATGCACCTTAGGTCTGAACAAATCGAAGCATCTGCAGATTAGCCCCCGGTTATGTATGCGCCAGTCAGTCATCTTATGGTCGTGTTTTTTGTTTGCGCATGCAGGTCGCGGCGGTGATGGTTGGGTCATCATCTTCCTGCCATCAAGTGATCTATCATATCGTCCTGTGCATGCTTTTGTCTCAAGGTCGGATGATTGTTTTGCGCATGACGTAACCTTGTTCAGAGTCATGATGAGGTACTGATGTCCTAAATTAAAATGTGCCATGCCTGGCAGACCCACGCTAGCTAGTGCAAGGCACCTACCTAAGTACTCCCTCCGTAAACAAATATAAGAGCGTTTAGATAACTACTTTAGTGATCTAAACACTCTTACATTTCTTTACAGAGGGAATACTATGTAACAAAGACTTGTGTGCTTGTACTGTTTGTAATGCTGCTGCGGAGTACATCCCGTGTTTGCTAATTCTTGAATTCCTCCAGTCTTGAATTCCTGTGTTCGCCGCTAGGAGAAAGGAACTTTCTTTCTTGTAAGATTTCTTTCTTGGAAGAGGAGAAAGAAAGGCGCCGCTAGGAGCGCTTCTTCCGCCGACGACCTTGGTTTATGCCAAAATAGCTTAGCGGCCAGTGCTACCCTAACCTTGGTGTCAGGCCTGAAGACAGCTACTGTCGCTCGTCGCGAGCCGTCAATTTCTCGCCTATATAACAGTCGGAGCTGGATATGACGAGTTCTGTGAATCATTTGCCTCTGGGCTGGGCTAAAACTCTATACAATATCTATATAGGACCGAGGCGATTCGCCATAGCCAAACACTAAATTCCCCTTTCATGTTTCTGAATTGCTAGTAGGTCCTGACAAATTGGTATTAGATGCCAGCGATTCTCGGCGGAGGCGTATGAGGGTGACAGAAATTTCCCCATAGATTGGTGATGCCCACCCTTTTCCCACCCTTCTTCGTTTTCGGCGGTGCTGTTATACGGCAGCGGGGTTGAGGCGGTGTGGAGGCGCATGTGGCAGTGAGAATTAGGGCACAAATCGGTAGAGCAGGGGCGGTTGATCGATACTCTGTTCGATCGGTAAAATTCCGCGTCCGAGCGCTGATCCGTGTGCTTTTGGAGGCGTGGATCGTGGCAGCGGCTGGATCTGAGGTGAGGGAAAGGTTGCTGGTGTTCCGGGGTAAAATTCCTCGCCCTTACCTGAGATCAAGGAGATGGGTCGCGCGAAGACGATCGATGAGGCGGATCTTCAAGAAGTTCTCTCTCTGCGAGATGACTTTGGTGTTCTTTAGAAGGACAGTTCTATGATGCGATTGGAAGTATCCAAGTTGCAAGAAGACGTTTGGCCCATCAGTTCCAAACAAGGTGAGATCTCTCTCCAAGTTGTGGGAATTGAGAAGGCAGTACTGGATTTGGGCAAACAACTCTCTACTATAAGTGCAGTTTTGAAATCAATTGCTTAGCCAAATGCCCAGGCACCATCGGGCCCAGATCAGCCTAGTACTAGTCATGTGGTACATTCTCCCACTCTGCAACAGGAACAAATCCCAGATCAGCAGGCCAGAAACGATGCTCTCACGAAACAGTTGGAACTAGAAAGGGAGAAAACTCGACAAGCAGAAGAATTACATCTGCAAAATTTACCCCCCATCAGAGTTCAACGACCTCCATTCCTCCTGGGTATGATAATCAGCAAAGAGCTGATAATCTTAGTGTTGTGGGTACTCCTGTAACTGCAAGGGAGGCAGGTCACGCCCCTGTTTTCAACAAGTTTTACCAGCCAAACAAGGACAGGCAACTATGGCAAGGATATTTCAAGACTTATGAACAAAACATGCAGGCCCAGTTCATGAAATCACTGACTAAAGGACCAAAGATGGACTTCCCTAGGTTTCTAGGAGGGGAGCTCCTACTCCGCGCCTTCAGCGCCAACTAACCAACTGGTGCTCGCAGCAGCGCCTTGCTAGGCCGGCCCACGAATGTGTAACGCCAGTGGACAAAAAATCC